AGACCCTTTGAAAGGTGAACCTGGTTGTTTTTAACAGTGACATGGGTCCCTGCCACCACTGACCTTTTAACTATTAAATACCTGAGCCCCAGAACCCTCGGGGAATAACCATCATTCATCAACTATCCCCTCATCATTCTCCCAATAACATGAAATTGTGCCAGCTGCTCACTCCTGTGTTTGCAAAGCACAGCTGGGCCTTCCTGCTCTAATTCAGCTTCTCATAATTTTATCCAACTCAACTAAAGCTCCTCTCAGCTTCCGTGATACCAAAGAAAACAATCCCAGTCCATCCCATCTTTCCTCAAAAAAAAGCAAAAGGACTGTGAATGCTGGAAATCAGAAACAAAGGCAGAAATTGTTGGAAAAGCTCAGCAGGTCTGGCAGCATCTGTGGAGAAGAAACAGAGTTAACATTTCGGGTCTGGTGACCCTTCCTCAGAACTGGACCCGAAACGTTAACTCTGATTTTTTTCTCCACAGATGCTGCCAGATCTGGTGAGCTTTTCCAGCAACTTCTGTTTTTGTTCCTCACCACTGAAATTCTCTGGTGTTTGGAATGTGATTGTGAATCTCTTCTCACATCCACTTGGGATCACATTGTTCCTGTAATCTAGTGAGTACAGCTTTACCTAGTGCTTCCACTCAGCTCTGAGTGAGTATTTTACACAGCTCTTTGCTCTTGGTTTCTGTGCCTCTGCTAATGAAGGTGTAGATTTTGTAGAACTCCTTAACTGCTTTATTTGCTCATTCAGAAATCTGGGGCCATGCCCCTCGAGGTCCCTTTGTTCCTCCGCACCTCTCCATATTCTCCCACTCTTTCAGTATTTTTAATTATCTTCAAACGTCTTAATCACGTCTCACATATTTAAACCTGAATCGTTGGTAGTTACCACAAACAGCAAAGGAGCCGGTTCTGAGCTCTGAAATCCCACTGGAAACAGCCATCTCCGTCACACTAACACCTGTCAACAGTTACCCTCACTTCCCATCACTAAGACAAGTTTGAATCCAATTCTGCTCAATCCCATTATCTTGTACTTTTCTGATTAGTCTGCCATGTGGGGCCATGCTGTTCTCATATTGGCAGGATGTGAACAGCGATGTCTCACAAGGATCTCTGTTTGACCCTCAATTAGTCATATTTATTTATTAACAATTTGGATAATGGCAGACAGAGTCTTAGAAGCAAATTTGCTGATGACACAAAGTGAGAAGGCATTGTAGACTGTGTAGAAGATAGCATAAAATTACAAAGGGATATTGATTAGGGCCAGGGAATCGATAACAGACCCATCCAGCCACCCCCCACTTCCCAACACCCTCCTCTGCCTCACCGAACTAGTCCTCACCCTTAATAACTTTTCCTTCAGTTTTCCCACTTTCTCCAAATCCAGGGGGTGGCCATGGGCACTCGCATGGGCCCCAGCTATGCCTGCCCATTTGTCGGTGATATCGAACAGTCCCTCTTCAGTATGTACACCGGTACTGTTCCCCAACTCTTCCACCGTTACATCGATACTGCATCGATGCAGCATCCTGCTCCTGGGTTGAACTGGAGCAGTTCATCGACTTCACTAACAACTTCCACACTGCCCTCAAATTTACTCGGTCTATCTCAGACACCTCCCTCCCCTTTCTTGACCTCTCTGTTTCTATTTCTGGCGACAGTTTCCGGACTGACATTTACTATAAATCCACAGACTCCCACAGTTACCTAGACTACACCTCCTCCCACACTGTATCCTGCAAAAACTCCATCCCATTTCCCAATTCCTCCATCTCTGTCGCATCTGCTCTGACGAGGAGACATTCCACTCCCAAGCATCCTGGATGTCCATCTTTTTCAGACAACATTCTTTTTCCACCCCTCAGTCATCCAGACAGCCCTCCACCGTGCCCCCTCCATTCCCCACTCCACAGCTCTTTACCACCCCCTCCCTCCAAAAATGATAAAGATAGGGTCTCCCTTGTCCTCACTTCCGACCCCAGCAGCCTCCACATCCAACGTATCATCCTCAAACACTTCTGCCAACTCCCATCAGACCCCACCACCCACAACATCCTCCACTCCCCACCCCTCTCTGCCTTCTAGAATGACCATTCCCTTGGCCACTCCTTGGTATGTGCCACAGTCCCCACCAACCACTCCAACCCGCCCAGTACCTTGTAACCAGAAAAGATGCAACACCTGTCCATACACCACCTCCCTCATCGCCATCCAGAGCCCAAAACAGCCCTTCCAGGTGAGACAGAGCTTCACCTGCATCTCCTCCAACCTCGTCTACTGCATCCTGTGTTCTCTACATCAGCGAGACCAAACATCGATTAGGTGACCATTTCACCGAGCATATTCGCCTGGCCCGTAACGGCCAGCCTAACCTCCCGATCATTGCCCATTTCAACTCCCCTTCCACCAACTCTCCCTCCCCAATCCCCCTCCACCAACTCTCCCTCCTACATGTCCGTCCTCAGGCTCCTCCAGTGTCACAGCGACTCAGAACGCAAATTTGAAGAACAACACCTTGTCTTCTGCCTGGGCACCCCACAGTCTGGAGGACTCAACATTGATTTCTCTAATTTCAAATAACCTTCCCATCCTGCCGTCAGCTCCCCTTTCAGCCCCGCATCCTCCTTTCCATTCCACCTTCTGACCCTCCCTTCCGGCACCAACAGATTCATTCTTCCCATTGACCAACCTGGTTGTACCTACTATTAGTGTCCACCCATTCCCTCTCCCCACCACCCCCATCTGCAGCTCCCCCTTGCCCCACAACCAGCCCTGAAGAAGGGTAATACCTACACATTGACTGTTCCTTTCCTCTAGATGCTCTTGGCCTGCTGTATTCTTCCAGCCTCCTGTTTGTCTACCTTGGATTCCAGCAGCTACAGTTTTTTTTGTCTCTAACTGTGGCAGGTGGAGTTCAATGGAAGCAAGTGTGAGGTTATTCATTTTGGACCAAGAAAAGATACATGACAGAACTTTCTAGATGGCATGATGTTAAATACAGTGGGTGCCCAAAGAGATTTGGGGTTCCAGTTGCATAGATCTTTAAAATGTCACCAAGAGATGTGGAAAATAAAAAAATATGTAATGGTAAAGGGAGCAAATAAATGCAGGTTGTTGATTTAACCATTATTATTTTTAAATGGCAATGGTTTCCACACCGTGACTGGGTTGGAAATGCTCAATCCTTTCCTCACTACATCACATCATGATGGTGTAGAATTCCATCGCCTCCACCATATCCCGACAGGATTGGACCTCAGGTCCCTCTGTTGAGTGTCCTCTTGCTTCTATTAAAAACGTGGCACATGTTCCACCCAATCGGAGACGCCAGACACCAGAATATTTCCCCTCACATGCAGTGAAAGGTGCAATATGTCCCAGATCCATCCCCTTTCCATCACAAGAATGAGACGTGCAAATGGAGGGCTGATGCGAGGAGGGGAGATTACACACATTAGCCCCGAGTTGGATAGAATTTTTATTGTTGAATAGTTGCGGGGAAGTGGCAATGACCCTGCCTCTAAACCAGGAGGCCCAGGAGAGAGAATTCCCACTAATGAAAGGATGAGGAAGGTGGTAGTGTTCATGTCTCGGAGCAAGGGGACAGTGCAAGCAGAGATAGACCAACACGGCCAGATACTGAAATAAACCAACAGGCCGCTCGGCCCATCAGGCCTGGACTGGGACCAGCGCACCAGAAACTACAGGGGGTCAGGGGTCAGGGGTGACAGGGGACAGGGAAGAAGGGAGGGGCAACGGACAAGAGTCGGAAAAGGAAATGACATCAAAGGGGCGGAAGTACACCACGCGAGGGGCGGAATTGACGTCATCGACAGCGACCGGTGCCCGGGAGAAAGGTGAAAACTCAAAAATATCAAAATATACAAAATCATCCAAATATATTTCACCCTCAAATAGAGAGAGAGAGAGAGAGAGAGAGACTGGGATAGAGAGAGAGAGA